ACCCAGGAGGCACCAGTCACCAGCAGACCTGGAAATGGACCGGAAGTGCTTCTGGTTCACTTCCAGGTCTGCTGCTGAATGTGCTGGGAAGCCCCCCCGTGATTCTGTGGGACACTCCATGCGCCCCAGCATCTCAGCATTCACAAACCCCCTGCTACCTAGAGGTATGTAGAAAAAACATTTAAAGCTGTATCTATGTCCGAATCTTTCTGAATCTCTCCGAATTGATTTGGAGGGTTCCAATTCGATTCGGAGAGATTAAAGGGTCCTCTGACTCTATTTGGATTTGGAGATTTGGCCACCAAATTGGGCTGAATGGAATCAGGGACTGAAGCTTCACACATCCCTAATGGAAAATGCTACATAGTTCTCTCAAAAAGGACTACCATTCCTATTTTTGAGATAAATGATAAAGAATACTTACTTCCAGTTGAAGGAAAAGTTCTGCAAGATAAAAAAAAAAACAAAACAAACAACCCAAAGGTCTAATTAGTGTCACTTTACTATCCTTTAAAGATATATGATGACTCTCTTTAGTAATTCTAAATGATTCAATACAGCAAAGGTGGAGAGGTAAACAATGTACATACTTATGCCATTCAGGCACATTTTACACTTCTACAATGTCAATTTCTGTGTATGTGTGTCAAAGTTTCTGTAAAACATTAATGCAGGTTGGAACTTTCTGTAAGTTTTCAGAAGAAAAATGGCAGCAAACTTCATAGAGTAGTAACCAATTTATGATTTGCTTCTGTTCAATCCAAGTGCCATGCTCAGTTCTGAATAAACTTGAGAAAGGGCCAGCTGCTTAAGTTTCCATTAAAGTAAGTCTGCACCAGATCTGACTTTTAAAAAGAAAGCTTACAGGATGCAGCTGATACTGCTAGAAATACAATCCGTGAAGGACCATATATTAAACATATTTCACTAGGCCTGGCTGCTGCTTCCTCAAATTTATTTCTGCAGCAACACAGTACTTTTTGCCTACTTAAGTGGGTGGGACAGACCTTTGAATTCATATGAATCTAAATCCACTATCTGTCTTTCCACCAAACTTCCAAATCCATGAGCAGCTCCTCGTGAGAAAAGCAAAGGTTGCTGCAACTCCAGGAGCTGCAGCAATTCATGTGACTATTGCTAAATTCTAGCATTGCAGGCCATATAATGTGGCTCTGAGCTCTAAATCTGGCCCACAGGGGGCAGATGAGATGTGCATCACTGCTACATACTAGTGGTGCTTGATCTTTTGGCCCCGCAGACCAGAAGAGTGGCATGGGGCTGGTCAGCAGGGCAGATCAGGCCTTCCCACCTAGCCCCATGTGCCAGTGTTAGGTCTTGTACTGTCCTGCACTGCACACCCAATCCAGTGCAAAGGGCAATGTTAATCTGGCCCATGGGGCTCACCACAGGTCTGGAAATTTGAGAGCAGAGCAGCAGTGACACCATTCCCATGCCACCAAGTTTTTGGACCTGTGGAGAGTGCCACTGGCCAGAAAAAACAGTGCCAGGGCTGGATCTGGCCAGTGGGACAAGGGTTGAGCACCCATGCTGCATACCAATGAAGATGTGTTACAGCACATCTCAAAGACATAACCCAGTTCATACATCAGAATGAGGTAAGCACATCGCCTACAAATGGAACAGCCCTACTCCCAAGAAAAGTTGGTAATAACATTCCTACTGACTTCAGCTGACCAGGACTGGGCTCTGTATAAAGGATGCACCTCCAGAATTTTTATTCAAGACTATGACAATAAATATAAAAGCAGCAAACTTGGGCTCTTAATCAGGCCTTATTTCACATCCTCTGCATACCAATGTTCCTGATATTGTCACAGGATAGTATTTCAAAAAACAGACAAAGTTCTGGACAGAACACAAGTCAAATACATTTTGGAAAAGACTCCAATAGCATTTTATGCAATCTATTTCAGAAGATAAGTTTATATGTATTTGGATGCCACATGAATGACTACTTCTGAACATATTTTTGTATGCCAAAGATGACAATGGGACAATTATAACTAGCCTTATTTGCCTGAGGGCTTTGGCAATGGTATAATGGAAGCCTCTGCAATGAATCAGTACATCTGTAACCATAATGCCATAAAGGTTCTTTGGATGCCTTTTTTTAAAAACAATGAAATCCAACTCACCTGCATTCCTGATCCTTTCCTTGTACTGTTGGTCCAGTTTTTTCATTCTTTTCTGATATTCTTGTAAAGTACCTGATTGAAATTAGTCACCAAATTCTATTAGGACCTTATTTGCTCTACTATTTAGAGATCCCAGACTACTTGAAATGCTAGATACAGTTATATGGGAAAGACTAAATATAAGTCTGCTCACCTGCTTCTGCAAAACCAACCAGAACAGAAGCATATTACACTTTGCTGGAATGGGTGGTATTTGGTGGAGGAGAGAAGGCAGGGGAGCAGAAAAAGACAAAGTGGTTGAATTATTCCCACTAGTGCACATGCCTAACTGAGGGGCATCATGCAAAATGCAAAGGACAGCCTAAAAATACTGCCCTGAAATGGCACAGCATTGCCAAAGGCCAACACTAAGGAAAAAAAGAAGTAAAAAAAAAGCTGGATTATAACAGTGAAAAATGAATGTGGCTAAGATGACCAACTTGTTTAGTGGTAACTGTTTTAAGGGACATTTTCCTAGATGGACTACGAAGCTTTACATTTACATAGCTCTCCCCAAATCAGGAGAATACAACACTTCTTACCCTTCCCATCCCATATTCAATTGCAAGCAAACTAGTAGTTGAAAAAAGATTACAGAAAACTTCTCTCACAAATTCTGAAGGATGGCTGTAAGCTCTTGTTCTAAGACGCACTTTAAAGTAAGGCACCTGCTATTATTTCAGAAAAAACTTCTTACCTTCCTGTAACTGCTGTAACTGCCTCTTAAGTGATGCCAGTTTGTCCTGATACATCCTGTAACAAAAGGGCAGCATTATATAAACAGTAAAACAAACAATGACTGTTCATTTCACCACCTATTCAGGTAAATATTAGGGGTGTGCAAAGCAGGCCTCATTCAATTTGGATTCAGCCCGACTTGGGGAACAGTGATTTGACGCGTTGATTCAGATCACTGTCCCGATTCAATTCGGCTGAATCTGAAGATTCGATGCTGATTAGGAGAATTAGCAATTCAATCATAGATGCAGCTTTAAATGTTTTCTCTATATACTTCGAGGTACCAGGCACAGCTCGTGAACACTGAGATTGCGGGGCGGATGGAGCATCTCACAAGAGCATACACAAGGATTTATACATGATGCAGCACGGTAACTGCTAATGCAAGAAGCAAGCTGCTCTATTATGAACCATTGGCAACACAACGCCAAGCCAAGCCTAGGAATTCTGGTAATAGACTTTATTTCATTAAATGCATTTGCAGCATTCTCCAGTGTTTAAAGCAGGATGGGAAGAATGGATCTGTGTTAATTCACAGAGTTGTAAGGCAGGAGGTCAAAGTTTATTTCGCCTCAAATGTATCTCGTCTTCCATGTATATTGATGAGGGGCTTACTTTAAAGTTGCAGCCTATGCAAGATAGGGACACATTCACATCCTAAAAATAGGGAACTGAGCCATGAAGATTGAGGCACCCCCAAGGCTAAGAGGGCATAATAAGTCTGTTGTATTGTTCTTGATGTTTGTAGATCAGGGGTGGGCAAGATGCAGCCTGCCAGACCATTCTACCCAGCCTGCGGGGTC